TAATACCTTTCGCTTTGTAACGTGTTTCCAGTCAACTGGTTGTAAAAGTTCTTGTACATCTAATTTCAATGTGTCCTCATCCAAATCCCAAATTATTCCCAGCACCTTTAACGTTTTCTTATCCAAATTATCTTCCTTATTAATTAAACCAATATCTTGCCAATGATTTTTTAAAGATACGGAATTTGATTCAAATTTTCTTAAGTTCATACCAGCGTCTTGAAGAATTTTAACTGCATCAGTTGATAATGAGAAAACTTCTTCAACGGAGTCTGCTCCATGGATAAGGTCATCAACATATAAGGACTTATTTAACATGTCAACAGCTTTGCTATATTTCTTTTCATAACCCTTAATATGATGTTTGATAGTGGCGGACAAAATAAACGGACTTGTTGTCATTCCAAACGGCACTCGGCACATTCGGAAAACCTTAAAGCCTAAACTATTGTCACTATTGTCGTAAGAATGATCAAACCACAAGAACCTTAAAAAATTTCTATCTTCACTATCAATTTGAATTTGGTGAAAAGCCTTCTCTATGTCTGCACAAAATGCAACTTTATGTACGCGAAATTTTAAAATTATATCCAACAGGTTAGGATTTAAATTAGGGCCTGATATCAAACATTCATTTAACGATTTAGCTCCTTCAGACCTAGAGAAAGCCATCATAAACTATTCTTATTCTTGTTGTTACTTTTCCTTCACGTATAACGGGCCTATGAGGCATATAATAACAGTTAGGTTCATTTTCAACAAACTTACATTGTTCAACAATCCCCTTTTCAACTTGTTCTCTAATTATATTATCATATTCATTATATAGGAAATCATTTCCCTTTAATTTATGCTTTAGTCCTAGAAATCGTTGTTTAGCAACGAAAAAATTATCAGCGAGTTGTGATTTATTGTCCTTCCAAAAGAGTTTTGTTTCGTACCTGCCGTTATTAAATTTTAAACTGTCGTTAAAATGCTTAATAGTATCCAAATCAGTTTCCGAAAATGTTTTGTTTTCATTTTCAATTCCTATCGAATCCAATTTCCAAAATGACTGCAAATCAAATGTGTTTCCTTCAACGGCAGATAAAAACAACGCATTAATTCGAGTATTATTATTTTTTACTTTACCCATCACACTGTGTATCCAAATATGGTCGGTACTATAAACAAACCATCATTTATCATTGAATTACTTCCTGTTTGTATATACCAGAAATGCTCCGCGCCAAGCAGAATATTTATGTTCTCATTAACGGGACTTGTATCCGAAAGTTCCAAGCCCTTTTTAGTCATAAATTCTTTAATGTTTTGACATGTTGATGGCGCCTGGAATTCTATTGATGATATTAATTCTATCCCTATAGCTTCTACAACAAGGCAGCGATCATCGTTTTTATTTTTTTATTTTTAGACTATATACATCAAATTCTTGCGAGTTACCGCGCTGATTTCCAAACGAATAAATTGTTAGAAATTCTTTTCTAATGAATGACTTGCAATTCTAAAAATCGCGCGCTAACTTGTGGGTGATGAAGTTTCGTTCACTACCTGAATCAATTAATAATCTTACGATTCTCGATTTATTTTTGCTTTGAGCAATAACAGAACATGTCTGTAAAAGCACACTATTTTCAGGTTTTAGAGTGTTATAGTGGGAAGTAGATACTAAAGTTTTATTTTGCGTATTTGCGGAGTTAACATCTTCCATTTCTTTCGATTTCAAACGGCAGAAAAGTTTATTATGATTTTTCTCGTTACAATTTTCGCATGGTTGTATATTTGACCGACAAAACGACGACAAATGTGATTTAAGAAAGCATTTGTAACAGCGACCTTCATGTTTCAATTTGTTTCGTTTTTGTTCGTCGGAAAATTTCAAACATCCGGCAGATGTATGTTCGTTTGATTTGCAGAATATGCAAAACATTTTTACCGATGTGTTAAAAGCAGAAGCTTGTGATTTGACTTTATAATTTTTTGAACCCTTGTTTAGGATTAACCCCTGTGTATTTATTACCTTTTGAGCTATTAATCAAAATACTTGCTTCTCGGCATTCAGTTTCGATTTTAATGAACTCTATTAATTCACTTACTTCTATATTTTGGTTAGATGTTCTTTTTCTATGGAATTCAAGAGCTAAATCTTCAGGTAACAATTTAAGAATTATTGGGTTCAATAACTGTCCGTATGAACCGCTAGTAACATCTAAACTACTTAAATTTCTAACGCAGATTTGTAACTGATCATAGAGCTTTCTTAACTCAAAAACATTTGAAGAACTTTTAACTGGTTCTAACTGTAACAACATCTGCATGAATTTTGATATAATAACATCTTTACGACCAAACCTCTCTTCTAAACTTTTAATACATATAGATCATAATTTTCTTCAGATAAAGCATAACCAGAAACACAATTATATGCTGAACCAGATAATAAACTTTTCAAATATGTAAACTTATCTATTTTAGATAAACTTGGATTAGAATGAATAGCATTATCATACGAATTAAAGAATTCGAGCCATTTACTGGGATCACCAGCAAATTTTTCAATATTTAATTTAGGTAACTTTACTGAAGCACTACTTGTAACAACATTATTACCATTCAGAGTACTACTAATACCATTACTAGTTGTAATTATACTTCTTTCAACAACTTCATTACTGTTAATTTTCTTTACTTTACTAACAATCTTAGCTTTAAACGTTATAATTTTTTCATCATACTCTTCACATACAAGTAGTTCGTTATCATATTCTTTTTCATCAATTATGAGAGCATCGATCTTTGAGTCAAGACTTTTAAGTTTCTCATGGTATTCAGTTAACAATTCATATGATGAATTTAGATCTTCTAGATGTTCTTTACTTAATTCTTCCGATAATAATTTCTCAAGTTTATTTAGAAGTGCAGTAACTTTACTACGTACGATAGCACGTTCTTTTTTTCTCTTTTGCTAAATCATCCATTATGTTTCGTTTTCAATGATCGATACCAAGAACAAATAAATCAAAATTCTTACCTCTCAAAAGGTAATTTCCCTTTTCGCGAATTTCAGACACCAAAAATGAAATGGTGGTTCATGAGTCATAATTTCAAAGTTCGTTTCGTTTTCAGGAGTCAAGGTTGGGAGAGCATTAGAATTTCAAATCAAAACTTTCAAGATTTCACAGAACATAGAAATAACATTTATTAACGATAAACTTAATATTATAGTATATTACTTCCGCCTTATAGCGGCCATGAAACATAATCAAGCATCAAATAAATATGACATGCGTCATTCTTCATGTTCAAGCGTCAAGTGATATATTTTTCATCGGCGCGCATCAAGAGCGCCACCTATCTACCAAAAAAGGAACAAAGGGTATTAAAATTTAGAGAAAAAAGTTTATTTATTTGTTACTTTATTAAACATTCTTCAAAGATTTAGAGCTTCCACAAAAAATCAAAAATTCCTTTTTCTTTTTTTGTGTCATTAAGGGACTTCAATCCAACTCCTCGCATAATTGAACGGAAGGCCTTTATCCATTTTTTTTGAAGCAATTCCACTTTTTGTTTAGTGGACATCGAAACATGGTTTCGCTATGTAGATCCTTTGGCAACTCCAGAATTGGAAACTCGTTTCGGCATAATCGAAAATTTAAGCTTAGTTTTATAAAATTGCCGTAATAATAACAGTCTGCAAAAAATAATAAGTTGGATCAAATTAGAAGATCAGGAAGCTGCGCAGTCTGCTACATTAATTGAAATGCCTTAGATCAGTAAAGATAATTTTTAGTCTAGCTTATTAGTGTCCGTTATACATTACTGGCTGGGTATCACAAGATTGGCAACGAAACGCCAAGCTGTTTCGCTAAATTTTGTCTTGCTCCTATTGCGTACTGAATTAAGCCTGAATTGTATTTGTTTAGTTATTTACTATACCTTCGTTTATTTCTTGCACATGCTTCGAACTAATCCGAGGTCCTGAAATAAATAAACTCCCACACATACTTACGGCTTTATCTAAGGGCCGACGCTCGATACCGCCTGGTGAAGTCTCTACGGGTCCTAAATTCTGCTACAAAGCGCTTTCCCTAAGTTCTAAATTTTCACTGTGCCTAAACTTTGGATCCCAGTGCTTTCCCCCCTAAATCATATAAAACTTCTCATTCCTTAATTTTGCCGCTCGGTGCTTCCATCCCTTAAATTTTGCCAAAAATCTTAATGCTTCCTTAAAATTCCAAAAATTGCCGTCCGTTGTCGACATAAATTCTGTCGCCGCTTCTGGGTTTATGGTGAAATAACATATATCATTATTTCTTAATTTAAATATAGTACTAAATGTAATCTTTTGGCCTATGAGTTTCATTAACAAAATCTATTTTTAGCATATGAAAAGAAATTTTTGTTGAATTTTCCTCGTCAACATTTCTTAGAGCATTTAAAAATCTATAATCATCGCCAAGCGTAATGCTAGTATAAATGGTTGCCATACTCTTGTTATTCAATTGCTAATTAAAAAAAAGTTTAGACATCACAGCATGAGAAGCAAAATATAAAAAATAATGATTCGCCAGGCCGGCGTCAGGCCGAAACATTCACGTATATAAAATACGTGAATGTTTCGGTTTGAGATGTATGCCAAGTAGATACTCAGCTACGAAGCCAAATTATTAATCTCACAAATTTATGCTTACCTAATTGTTTTTCCATAACGAGGTATTTATTTAGTGACTAAGTGAAATTAAGAATCGGAATTTTTAAGTGAAAATCTCCACATGTTTTATTCTGGAAAGAAAAATCAAATGCGCATGCTTAAAGCATTAATTAAAAAAAAAAAAAAATGTCTGTGGCTTTGAGGTCCGGATTTTAGATCATTCCGGATAATGGACGTCTGGATTTCGGACTTTGTACTGTATATATGTATGTATACACGCCAGTGAATCACCTTGTATATATATTTGGAAAATGACATGAAATATAATAATTATTTTGTGATATTTTAGGCATATTTCGAACAGTGACAGCATCTGCTATGCATATTGTGAAGGAAGATGTCTGCCAAAATAATCAATCTTCAAAATCAGTAGCTTTCTACAGTATCTCAGAAATTGAGTCTATGTTTCTTAAACTAGCACCATTTTATCCTACAATTGTTGTTCAGTGGTGTAATGTTTTAACTATTTTGAACTATGATAGTCGCCTCTTTTGGTCAAAAATTGTACATCCTTGTCAAGAAAATATAGCTGATGAGCCCACACCTATTTCCATGTAAGTATCATGCTGTTAGTATGTATAATTATGATATTTTTGTTGTTCTAAGTAAAGTTTATGTGTAAAAAATTGTTTATAAAAAATTTATGTAATATGTTAATGCATAAATTTTTCTAGAGTTTTATTTTAGTTTTAAAATGAAATCTCTGAAAAAATGTAGAATAAACTCTCATGTTCAGTATTTAAGAATGTGAATAAACTTTATTTATTTATTTATTTATTCTTTTTAGGCAGTCAACTCAACAAAAAAAGTGTTTTGTACCTTGTAATTTAGAAATGGTTCGTCGGGGAGGCGTTATTCTTCTTTGCGATTATGTTGTAAGTGTGGCAGGTTTTATATTGTGCATAACATTTATTTAATGTGAAACAGCTGTTGTGTGAAACTCAATAATTATAATTGTATAAAAACAGCTTAAATTTATGGTATGAGTACATACAGTCAGACCTGTATTTAAGAATCTAGCAGAATCAAATAAAAAAGTATATTTAAATTAAAATTACATTAAATTGTGGTTTCAGTGAATGTCTTTAATAATGATGTGTTACCCGCAGGTGGGAATACTTTAAATGTCTATTGTAATATAAATCAAAATTTAATGTAGAAAATATATGCTGATGTAAGTGCAGCCACACATTTGAAATACACTGCTAGCCATTGAAATTGCTACATTAGGAAGGAAAGTACACATCAGAATTTTATTTTTTGCACTTATAGAGTATGATGAGGGGGAAACATGATTAAATTTGCAGGGGGTTGGGGGTACACACCATGCAGAATTCAGTACATAGAGCTAACACCTCAGGTAGCTATGACAACTGTAATATGGCTAGATATTGAGTCAAACTGAGCTTGGATGACAGGTATGGGTATTTTATTCCAAGCGACTTCCACTCTTCATTAATCATAGTGGTTGTGTGCTTATCTCTTTTCAACTTTTCAACCAGATGTTCTCAGTGAGTGAGAGATTTGAAGAATGTGTGCTGGCCCAAGGCAACAGTCAAAGAGTCAAACATCTTCTGTATTGAAATAAAATAGGATACCGTAGGCAACCGGCATGTGGTCATGCATTATCTTGTTGAAAGATAGTGTTACATAGAAAAAAAGAAGTTAAACTTTAAAATGTTGTTTGAATATTTAATTTGAACCTTATTGTTGAATCACTGAGACAGCTGGTGATGGACACATAAATTAAAATAAGCTCATATAAATCTTCATCTAGAGGCTGGTGATTGTAGTTAAACCAAAACACATAAATTATCAACATTGTAAAAGAAATTATATTACTTCAAAGCTCAAACATGTGTTTTGGTGTAAAATCAAAAGATTATTTATCAAAAAATGCAATTCTGTCTCAAATTCTACAAATGCTCTCTCTCATCAGAATAATGCTATATCCTCTGACTATCCTGAGAACACGTAAATATCAGTACAACAATTCCTAAACTCTAGAGATAGCCACAAGCTCTTTTTATTTAAATACAAGCAAATTGAAATCAAATTAATAAACCGATTGTATATTTAAAATACACATAAAATTAATTTCCCAACTACATCTCATATATAACTTTTCTCCTCAGGTTCGATTAGAAAGAATCCATTTTTTCCGTAAGGATAACAAAGGTGACAAGAATAAATCACTTAAATAAACATAATAATAATGGAAAAAAAATCTGAAAGCTTTCAGATTTTACATTATGCCCAAAGGGGCCTTTTTTTAACGATTTGTGTGTTACCTTTATTTATTAAATATCATGTTCTTCGCATTTAAACCATAAAGTTCAACTCAACAGCAATATTGCAAAATGATTTTAAAGTGAGCATATCTTTAGAATTTCCTATACACACTCTCACGCACTGGAGATAAAAATGTTTTTTTTTTTTTTTTTTTTTTTTTTTTTCTCTCGCTAAGTGTTCCCATTGCTCGCTTTGAAATCGTTGAGTTTGTTAATGAAAAATTCGTTAAAGTCTTACAAAGTATGAAATCGATAATAAAACAAATTCCAAATTAGGGCTTCCAGATGCCCATTTTTGGTGGAGGATTACATTATTCAAAATTTGATGGTTCTAGGTACCGTTGTTTTATCACAATGCTAGAAACATACAGACATTTATGCAGATTCTTCATTATTTCATTTCTTTAAATATAACACAGGGCAATAATATTTGGTGGTAACAATTTGAAAAGTGAAACAGACATTTAAAGTTTTCGATGCAAAATACCAAAACGAAATTAATAGTTCTGTGCTAATGCCGTTTGGGCTAATTACAACTAAAACTCATTTATTAATGAAGGATCAAAGATCAGTCGGGAGTCATTAAGATAGCTAGCCACACTACCCCTACACAAACATTATATTAAAATTACTCACAGTTTTACATTTGGCATTCTGGATAATGACCAATATTCTGCCTTAATTATTAGTAATGTGCTCTAGCATAATTATTTAGTTATCACTAAACACTAAAACTTATTTAGTTACTGAAATTGAGGGACGTACAAATTTCACTCCCAAGTAACACAGAAAATAGTTCAGCTTCTAATATTTAGCAATTTATTATTAACTTAATTTAAGGCAAAATATATAACAATTGAATTTTACAAAGTCATTTCCTCAATTATTAATTAAATAAAAAGTAACATTTCACATTTTCATTTTCCTCAAAATTTAACCCTTCGAAATCTTAATAATCAAATAATAAAGAAAAAGCAAGGAAAAATAAATCGCTCACAGGTTCAGAACACACGGGAGTCCATAAATGAAATTGAAATGCCCTTGTCGGAAATTCTCCTAGACAATAAGCACGTTCTTTTCCAGATCTTCGTAAATAGGATGCATGACATCTAATAACTTGAGCTGATCACTTAGTTCTCAAGAAGAACAGGGAATACGGAAATAGAAATGATCGTGCTTTCCGTTATTTTCGGCCTTTTAGTCGATGACTAATTCTCTCATCAAAAATTACACAGTTCTCAAGCCGTCTGAAAGAATATATCAGGGGTCGCAAACTTGTCAGACATAATCCTTCTTACTTTGGTTTTTTTCCTGCAGCTAGAAGTTCCATTTTCGGACAACTGGGAGCAATACTTTCAATCCGGATAAGGGACATTAGGAAGTCCACATTATTATTATTATTATTTTGATGTGCTGCGACGAATCCAATAACCATTTATGAAATTCTTTAACAAGAACACACACACACACACAAAAAAAAAAAAAAAAAAAAAAGCGACGAAACCAAATTCTCCGAGGAGCAACTTTTCAGGGAAAACGGAAGACTTAACCCAGTTCTTCCATCATAATCTCTGACAAATATCACGAAGAGAACCCGCAACGCAACTCGGTCCGGTCCCCGCAGTTGGCAAGCTGTAATTTACTTCCTTTTTTTCCTTTTACATTTCTTTTTCGGTAGAAAACAACTCTTCCTACCTCTCATGCAACAACTTTTAAAACCTCGGTATTTCTAAACAACGGGCCCACCAGCGGCCGAGCGGTAACGTCACTGAATACTGGTAGTTCGGTTCGAGGTTCGAATCCCGCGAACGGGCCGGCTGCATGGGTGTATTTGTGGTTTTCCCCATGTGTAACGTGTATACGAGCCAGTTTCCCTTAAAACGTCCTCCACAAAGGCATCCCTCCCTTAAGGCAGATAGCCCTAGTGTGCTTTGCCATAATTAAATACACCACACCACACTACCACACCAAATATAAATTATATGTTCATCATAAATTTTACTTGAACAGAAATTATGCTGGCAGAAATAATTTTAATTTATATTATTTGTTCTTTATAAACGAAACAGAACATTCTATGTATAGAGTGAGTACTTCTTTGTAATATGGGACTTTTCAATTCAGAAACCAACTGCCTTTTTTATGGAATTTCGTTTCTCGTCAGTGACGGAGGTTTTACCCTTTATTCTCGGGGAATGGCTCTGCCATTTTGTCCTGGGAATTGTGTTCTCTTGAATAAGTAACTAGGACTAGGAAATTAGCAACTAGGAAAAATATTTCAATCAAAAATATAAATATAACTTTAAAACAAATTGAGATCTGCTATCTGACATAAATAAAACACATTTTAAGTGCAGTAATTGGCCAAAGACTGGTGATTTAGCAGGCAACAAAGAATAGTTTTAGTGGTTCTGATCCTACAACTTTCTAGGCTGCAGACATTTAGTGAGAACCGTTCAGCTATCGAGTACATGACAAATAGCATGCAAAAAGAGGTAACAACTAAATGCACACACAAAAATATTTCTTGTGATGAACTAAAATGTATTATAACTCAGTATTTCATAGTTTAATAAGTGTAAGGTTAGAAAAACATGAGAGAGACATGATATAATAAATTTGTGATATTAAATTCAGTAGTCAAAGTTTGTAATCCGGACGTCCATAATCCGGAATGATCGAATTATCCAGACCTCAAAGCTACAAATTTTATGCGCATATGCGTTTACGCATGCGCGTTTAATGTATAACGGACGGTATAAGCTAGGCTAAAATTATCTCAGGCATTTCAGTTAATGTTGCAGATTGCGTTGTTCCTTAATCTTCTAATTGGATTCGGCTTATTATTTTTTGCAGACTGTTAGAACAATTTTATAAAAATTAAACTTGAACTTTCGATTATGTCAAAAAGAGTTTCCAATTCCGGAGCTGCCAAAGGATCTACAAAGCGAAAGCATGTTTCGATGTCCATTAAACAAAAAGTGGAATTGCTGCTAAAAATGGATAAAGGCCTATCCGTCTCGAAATTATGCGAGAAGTATGGCATTGGAAAGTCCACTATATATGACACAAGAAAAGGAACTTTTTGAATTTTTTATGGAAGCATCTTAAACAACTTACATTGAAAGAAATGTTTAATAAAGTAAACAAATAAATATTAAGCTTTTTTTTAAATTTTGATACCCTTTAAATGATAATTGTTCTTTATTTCATATTTTTAATTGTATAATTTCTGCATGCCATCTTACCAGATTTAAACTGATGATCTATAATACGGAAAAACCCCTAATCCGAAATCGCCGAAGTCCCGACGAGTCCTGATTACGGACTGTGTACTGTATATATATAGAGAGAGAGAGAGAGAAATGTAAAGGAAGTTTAAAAAGAAGCTTTTTTTAAATGAGTTTGGAAAGTTATAAAACTAGGTAAGCTATATACCCTGAGAATCACCAATTAGGGTTTTTTCTTTTCTATCGCAGGTAAACAGTCGCTAATATATGCCATAATTTTAGATGGTAACATTCTTGGAAAGCATAATTCTTTATTATGAAAAGTACATTCTGATAAATTAGGAGTATTTCTTGAGCTTTTGAATGCTGGTGTGCATCACAAAATTATGTGAGAATTTCTAGAAAACTATTTAGTATCCAAACCAAATACATTGACCGTTTTATTTGCAAGTAGTGTCATTATTTTATTGAAAGCTGCCTCTGAACCGCTTCTTAAGTTAAACAGTTGACTGCTAAATTTAAAATCAGATTTAATAACTGGATTATGAGAATACTGAAATGCAGGGGCTTTGTCTTAGAGCATGTGATGCATGCACCACATGCCTATGGGTGTAAAGTTTTCATAAATGAGTCATTATTTTTTAACTAAATCATATAGCAAATGCTTTATTAATTATTTTATGCATACAGATTGGCAATTAATCATGGATTCTATTTAGATTCAAAAATTTAAAACAAAAGTAACTGTGTACTGTCCATGGTTCTTTTTTTTTTTTTTTTCCCTTTCCCTGCTTTTAAAAACCTGTGCATGTTATTAAGTTACAGCATGTAGTTGACAGACATTTCGCATAGGCTAAAATGGACTTCTCTCTACTCCTCCTTTCCTGCTAAAAGTGCCAAATTGAGCAAAATCCGCACTGCTGCATGTGGACGCAATGATCTTATGTATATGGAAGGACTATGTTTGTTATTTAACATGCTTTATTATAATTTTGTATGTAATAGTAAGGCAATATTTCATGCTTTGGGTTCACACTGTCTTGTACATTTTATTTGTTAAACTTATGTGGATTCCTTTCGATATAATTATGTATTAAATCTAAAAATTAAATAGAGTATCATTTTTAGAAATCTGAAGCATGACTGAAAATCATGCTGAGATTCTTTTCAAAAACCTTTTCAACAGATGTTTAGTTTTTCTGTCTTTGTCTGAAAAGAAAGCTACTTAAAAATGGTAAAAAACCTTAAAGAGTTATACAATGTATTTATTGTAGAATGTGGTGCTACAAAATGTCTGACTCTATAGAGATGATAGATGAATTATCTGTCTCCATTCAAAAAACCGGTATATGCTTGCATTGTATATTGCACAGTAACCTCCAACAATAAACATTAAGCATCTTTTGCAAAATAGAAAAGTGTAAAACTTTGGGAGTAACTAAGACGAAAATTTAGAAAAAAATTTTTTATAGAGAAATTAACTGTTTGGTGGTCATTTGTGTATATCATATTTTGATCATCATCCTATTCTACCTCCCAAAAAATATTTATGAAACAGATGTTCATTTTATGGATGTCTATCTCTAAAATTATATGCAACTATGCAATAAGCAGCAATTCTAATTTATTTTATGTAAAACAACTTATTTACAGTGTGAGAATCCTACTGATGTAGTACAAATGACTTGGCTTATAGTACATCATGTGAATGACATTATTGACTTATCCATGGAAACAACAGTTCAGGACTTTATAAGGTATGATTTTTTATTTTATGCTTTCTAATGAGTAAAATAAGTGATCGAGTAAAAAAAAATACACTCTTGCCAATAAAAGAAAATAAAGCACTGTAGGAAGTATATATTTATAATGAAATTGAACTTATCTAAACCACATACATAGATAAGAGAATTTTTACTTTCCAAAGTGCTAGAATAAATTATTGGGTCCTAGCATTCATTATAATGCTATGACCTTTGATAATTAGCATTTAAAATGCTACAATTAGTAATTTGTGAAATTTCTTTTATCTGCACTTCATGCTGCTATGGAGCAAGATAAGGAATGAAGGCTTCCTAATGTCATTTGGGAATAGAAATTATGAAACATTTCTCAGTTTTTGTTCCAGCTCTTTTCTAGAAATATATATATTATTCTGTGGTCCCTGTACATTGTGGCTTAGCATGTCCCATACATTGAAGATGTTGGTGGCCAAGGAAGAGTTTAAACAGCAGAGACACTCGACAGATGTGCAGGTTTATGAGACAAGCATTATCTTCTTGAAAAATGACTCCAGAGTGACATGTCATTAAGGAGAACATACTTGGTCTCGGTATGTTTTCAACCTACTGCTGCACTGTTAGAGTTGAGTACATGACTACTAGGATTGAGCTGATATCATAGGAAATAGCACCTGACACCATCTCATCAGAAGTATTGGCCATTTGGTTTTGTATAATAACATCTATTCAGGAGTATTGCGCTGACTTCCTCTGTATGTCTACTTCAAAACTAAAGTGGGATTCATTATTGAAGACAATGCACTATCAGTAATATTTGCCCACATAAAATTACAATTAGTCACAGCAATATGTGGGCACAGCACCATTTCAAACGACACTGTCAATGTTGTGCTCGTAAACGAAGGTAGTTTAAAAGGTGATATGAATGTAATCTGAACTTAACCATGCATCATGAAATGGAAGTTCTGCAGGTATAGAGAAAGCTCATTTGCATACTTGGAAAAGTGTAATTTGCATACCAAATTTCAAGTAATTCGAATTATTTTTCCTTGATGCTTGTTCCCCCCCCCCTTCAAAAGAGTGTATTTTCTTTACTTATTATATATTGTTTGTGGCAGATTTTTGAAAAAAATCAAGAATATGGAATGAGCCAGAAGTCTTCAAAAACCTTTAATAATGCATTAAAAGTAATTTTTTTTTTTAAGTGTTGTGTGCAAAATAATATTGACGAGAAATTACGCTATTTGCCCGGGATAAAGAGGTAATTGGAATGGGTACTGTTGAAGGCATTCAAAAGAAAATGAAAATAATAACTGTACATGCAGTTTGTTTATTATAGGAGCAAGTGTTTAACAGCATCTGTACCACAGTGTATGATATAACGTATGCAACCAAAAATGCTTGCAACTTTGCAGCATCATAATGACTGAACTAATAGCCTATGTATTTTCCTACTAGTAGTGTTACTCACAGGAAAACCAGATTTTCTCCTTCGTGCCTAGCCATACTACGACAATGGCTGATTGTACGCCAAAGAGCTCTGATCTTTCCGATTATTCAGATACTGCAGCAGATTTTTCGATGGTGTACCTTGCACTTAAATTTTCTAACTAGCTGCCACATCTACTTGAGGCAAAAGTCTCCAAACATGATTAAAAGTTTCATTAGGTAAAAGCCCTCTAAACGGTCTGTTGATCTGCATCGACCTTGAAGCAGATGAAAAGGCATCTTTCAGTTCTAATCATGCATAAGGGCCTGTCAGAAACTTTAAAATTTTCCCTTTAAGAAAGACACCAAATCTTTCAATGCCTAATGATAAATCTCTTTTAGGCAAATGTTCCAGTCAAAATAATAGTTGCTGGAAGTCATTTGTGGTGCTGGTGCACCATCATGCATAAGT